ACATCTTTTCCTGAATTAATCAAGCAATCCATAAACGTGGTAAATTCAGTTAAGTATTTTGGATCTTCTTTCTCAAATTGTTCACAGACAATGACATTACGATACAAACTCTCTGTGTAATCTGTAATTTTTATCATAGGAATCTCGAGTACCCCATTTCTAAACTTTATGTCAAACAAGCTATTTCCTTCACCCCTCTTGAACCGAATTCCAGCCTCTTTAAGCTCTGTAGCAGAACGTATAAATGAGCAATTGCTATCTTCTGGTGCTTGCGAGTAATGCTCCGTTACTTCTCTTGAAGGAAGCCAATTCCCATGTACCAAGTCTAGTAAATGCTTGACATTTTCAATTGAAGTATTGTCATAGACAACATTAACTCTTAGTCCTGGCATCCTGCGACAGAAGAGTAGTAGAAGACGCCTAACAAAAATTTCTCTCTCATTTCCCCTCATTAGACCAAACAGCTCCCAAAGCACAAAGAAAGGAAGTTGGTTCTCAAATAGAATCAAATCATGCAAAACCCCGGAGAAAGTTGACTCCAATCTAAAGACATACTCATCCATGTTACGATCAAATAATTGGTGCATTAACTCAACAATAAAGCCTCCATCAAGCACCAACATTTCTAGGAAGTCTTCTGTGCTAATACTTGAAGGTTCTGAATAACAGTTACGGGCTTTTTCCACCATACCTCTCAGTGCTGCTACAAATGGTTCCGCAGTATGCCCATTTGTTCGGCGAAGAAGCATTCCTAAGAAGCGAACCTTGTGCACTTCCATCATCTCCAAGTGATTTTTGCCACGATGATAAGGACCAATTGAGATGATTTCTGGTTCATAGGCTTTTTCATTCACCTCATGTAGTCGGCGAGGCACTCTAAAAATGGTATGCTCCGAAAATGTTGAAGAAAGTGCTTGCAGCTTCCCCTCTATGCGAGCGCAAACCCTGGTCCTTATTTCATCCGCCATTACCTGAACATAGAAAAACAGTAAAAAAAAAAAAAAATGGAATTCAAGAAAGGGATACGGGCCGGATACCTTATTGATGCTAATTGACAATTAAACACTTTAATTTGGTAATAGAAAGTTAGAAACTCATACCCCCGTTAACTGGCTTTTGTAGCAATTGATTTTTGCGGCTTTGAATCAACTGCTAAAAAGAATAACTCTTTTCTTGCTTGAATGTGGCACAAAAAGAAGAAGAGAGAAATGAAAAATCTTCACATAAAATAGAGATAGAAGAAAGTCGTAATAATTGTCCACGACTTATTGGTCTACTGACCATCCGCGTGCGGAACGTGTTCCGACCACCGAAACTTAAGATTCTGTACTCCGATGCTCTTTTCTCGAGATTCCTACTTAAAAATAAAAAAAAAAGTCGTAATAATTTGAAAATTCTTGGGATAGTGAGAAAGTACTGTGCATACGCGGTTTTTCTTTCTTCTTGTTCTTGTGATCAGCCAAGTCAAATTAGAAATTTTATTATAAGGACAGGAACTGAATACCTACTACGCTGTTACAAAAAGAAAATAAATTTATTGCCTGCGGCAACCGCCTTGTTTTTTACCCAGTGAGAAATACTTTTGTGATTCAAGATGCATGTAGAGAACTTAGAATCTATATCTATCTACATAAAATGTTAGTTATGCATCAAGAGTCCGGATGGTGTGGTTAGAGATATTAATAAAAATTTTATTAAAAAAAATTTATTGTAAAAATATTATTTTTGAGAAGTTAAAAATATTTGATAAAATTTTTTATATAAATATTTTTAAAATGAAAAGCTATATGATAAAAATTTTTATAATTTTTTTAAAATTTAATATAATGTTAAAGTAACTAAAATAGACATTTTTTACTTAATTACCACTTTCATTTTATTTTTTT